CTGAAGGTCAAATTCAATAAAGAGAATGTTGTTGATGTATTTATCTCTTTAGGATCTGTTTTCTACTGATGTGTTCCTGGATTTATTTATCAAGAGGTATTGTTTACCTCTGAAACATATTCGATTTAATTGGGTTGGACTCCACCACTCTTTTGTAAGAAGAAAAATTCTACTGTTTATAATAATGTTGACAGATCTAAAGCATCAATCATAAACATTAAAATTTGTTTCAGTAGTTTCATCCTTTATTCAGTACCCATCAACCACTATATTATACTGCTTCTTGTCATTCTGGTATGTAGAGGGTGGGAGGAAGCAAGAGAAAAGGAAAAAGGAATATTAGGGGAAAGAGTGGAAGGTAAGAGAAATGTCAATAGGTGAAGAAGAGACAGGAGGTCAGACTGTTGAAATTACTTTTATAGCTGGGGTAAAGGGCCACTTTTGAAGGAGTTTGAGACAGTATTTGTGTATGCAGTGGAGGTATGCAGATGGAAATGTATTTAGAGATTGAGGGAGGTTGTGAGATTGTTGGAAACTGTTAATATATTTGTAGGTACTTTTGTTTGGATCCTCTAAGTCTAGTTGTGTTAAGGATTACTCTGACATGACCTTGAATGATGCTATTTATAGCACTGGTTAATTCATATTCTCTACTGCACTTGTATGGCTCTATTATATTTATACCATTAGACAGGTAGAGAGGAGTTGGGGGGCAAGGAGGCAAGACTAGAGAAGAGAAAATAAGAATAGTGTGTAGCAGACATCCCTGCCCAGTATTAGTGGGCTATGAGTGGCACCTACTTCTTTCTTTCCATATTCAGCTATATTGTTTTATATCAGGAGTCAGACCAAAGCTCTACGTGACTCAAATGGGCATGTCAGATGGTGGACTGGGCAAGTGTAGCCCCTCCCTTAGTGGCTGCCATGGAAACCTGAGCCCTGGTTTGTCAAGTGGCAGGGCTCTGCTGAGTTACGTGCAGCTGAAATCAGAATGATCTCAGTTAAAATCCTTTCCCCTGAATTATGGCTTCTCACTGTTGCTTTTCACCAATGGGTTGCATGTTAATTGCACCTAATCCCAGGCTGCTTTGTTCTATCTAAGCAAGATAAACAGTGTTTACTCCCTAACAGCCCTGCCTGGTGCCATCATGCCAGGTGTTTGGCAGTATCTCACTGGATGCCTTCAAAATATATCCTACTCCCTATTCCTTCCACAATTGTACTCAATAAATACTGGATGTACTTGGGGGGCCTTTGTCTTTGCTGCTATCAACAGCACTGACCAGGACCCAAAACTCAGCTTTTCCACTCTAAGTCTCGTTTCTGTCTGTTCTTGAATTTGTCTTGTGCTGTGGCAGCTCATGGGCCAGGATCCATGGTAGAGGTCCTGGTAACATCCTGTTCCCCATTCCCTACATAGAGATAAAGGGAGTAAAAAATAGAAGAGAAGAATCACTAAAAGAAACAGCAAGTTAAAGGGGGGAAGCCTTGAAGAAAAACAATATCAATAAAAAAGGAAGAAAATAAAAACAAAAAACAAAGATGACCTGAATCAAAGAAGCAAGGAAACATCAATTACATAAACAAAACATGAAAATAAGAATAAAAATTAAATCCCTCACGCAATTGTATCATTCACCTGGAGCATTCACACAGCTTCCTCTACACTGGCATCACAATCTGATCTCAAGCAGCCATGCAATTTCCCCTGGGGAACACTCAATTGCCTGACCAAAGATGTGAGGGTGGATGCTCCCTCTGAACATGTATCCTAGTTGTGAGCTCTGGGTGTGACCCACAGCATGCTTCTGGGATCCAACTGTCTTCATCGATTCTGGGGGTAGATATGTCTTCCCTCTACTGGATTTCCTTGCCTAATATATGGTCTAAAGGCCCCTGGCCCAGGTGTTGTTCAGCATCTCTCTGCCCTCAGATGTCCATCTGTCTCAGTCCTACCTAAAAACTTTGTGCCATCCTCAGGTTCAGCTGAGGACCCCCTTTTGCCATTGTAGGGTGGTGGGTGGGGACTTACTCCATCTCAGGCTTTTCCAGTGTTTGGAGAGACAATGGGAGAGTACCTGCTCAGTTCTGGCTCTACAAAATGGCCCTCTGATCTTGGTGCCAGACTCAGTTTCTCTCCCAGATTACTACTCCTCTTTCTACTATACTCTTGCTGCCACCTCATATCTCCCTGCCTGCTATAGTCCCCAGTGAGGATATGCTGGAGGCTCCCTGTGGGAACCTTCTGGCAGTCATGGGTCACATGCTGGATATTCCATAAACAGTCCTCCAGTTCTATGTGAGGAAATAGGTGACCTTTTTCCTGTGTCAGACAAGCTTTTCCTCTTCATACAGTCCTACCACTCACCAACACTAGAGCCTATTGTTTGCAATGTGTGGGTATCTTGTGCTTTCAGCTTTGTTATGGCTTGTATCTAGAGGTCATCTCAAAGTCTTATGCTGTCATAGGTAGGATTTTACAGAGATGGCTGGACCTATGGTATGTGATGCTGGGACTAAGGATGTGATATTGGTATTAAGGATGTGCTGCTGGGATTAAGGGTGCCCCATCCTGGATGTAGGTGGCACCAATCAATAGGCTTATAAACTGAATAGAATATAAAGGCTGCTTCTTTGCTTGCTGCTTTTACTGCCTCCTGTCTTCCATGCCATAAACTGTTGTTTCTTCTCGGTGATGCCACCCTGCCTTGGAGCCAGCTGACCAGAGACTGAAGTCTCTAAAAACTGTGTGCTAAATAAAGCATTCCACCTTTAAGCCTGGGTGTTGAGCATTTTGTTTCAGCAATGAGAAAAGTAACTAAAACAAGCTTCTTTGGCTGTGCCTCACTTGCAGTGCCTGATAGGGAGGTTAGAGTGCTTTTGAATCTAGTCTATCAGTCAGGCCGTCCCTGGAGGGCTGGCTCCTTCCCTCAATCTGGTCCTCTCCCAAGATGGTGCATGGGATACTGTGATGCAGTTTCCCCTCACACAGTCCTAAACACTGGATTTTAGTCTACCTAGATTTTCTTTCCCTTTGTCTTCCCCATCTGACTTTATTATTTGGCCCTGCCTCAGGGTACAGGCTTTCCTGCAGGAGTGATTCAGAGACACTCATACTTGCTGTTGCTCTCTGGGTAGCATCTTCGCTTCTCTGACTGGCAAAGTGTGTGGGGAGATCACAGGGTGTGTCATGGGCTGCCCGGCATGATGGACATCACACTGAGGTGGCTCTGTGTCCATGGGGATGTGGTGGCTCTCTGGAGGGGAGTTAGAGCCTGCAGGATCAGCTTTGGGATGATGGAGTATGAAGAAGAGGAAGTGAACTAAGCATTGCTCAGGTGTTTGGTTGTCAGGCTCTTTCCTCAGTGGCAGCCCCCACCTTGCTTTCCTCTCATAGAGACACTCATGACCACACTCAGGACCATCCATCACTCATGTCTGCAGAGTTCCCAGAGGTGCAGGTTCTTGTGTTGGTAGGAAAATGCCCTTGGGAACTGTGGTTCAGCTGACCTCATATGTTCACTTTGGGTGTCAGGATTTGATGTGTTCTTGTCCTCTGTGCCAGCACTTGGATGTGAGCCCTTCCAAAAGTCAGAGACACAACTGGAATTGGCCAGAGGTTACTGGGAGTCCAGACCAGATGAGCTCACGAAGGGACACACTGAGAGGACAGCCAGTGAGGGGCCTGGGTGGTATATAGTAGCCAGTACCTTAGGACTGCTAACCCTGGCAGGACCTTGCCAGCCAACATGAATCCCTCCCCTGATCACCACTATGTATCATCTGGCCAAATGATGAACAGACGCAGGTCCGACCCAGGCTCTGTGATTGGTAGCCAGGAGATGCTGCCCAATGTCTTAAACTGTCTGTGCTGCTACAACAGAATGTCTTAAAGGGAGCAGCTTATAAACAACAGTGTGGATTTGGCCTCACTCAGGAGGCTAGAAGTATGGGAACCAAGGCCCCAGCAGACTGGTTGTCTGGTGAGGACCTCCTCCTTATCCATGGATGACACCTTGTCACCGTCCTCTCACAGTTGGAGGATGCAGGGTTGTTCTGAGGCTTCTTCCCCATTAAGAGGCCTCCTTCATCATGAGGCCTCCACCTCATGACCAGGAATTCCCAGAGGCCTCCTCTGGGATACCATACCCGGGGACAGGTTTCAGAAGGAGTTTGGGATCACAGACTCCAGGCACACAGAGCACAGCAGAGGGTGATATTAGTCAGGATATTCTGAGTTCTGCAGGTCTGGCTTCCTCAACGCCTTACTCAGTGTGCATGGGAAGTGCTCTCACTCTTTCCAATCAGGCAGAGCTCTGAAAGGAGCCAGGGTCCCACAGGCTGCAAGAGCCAAAGCTGGCACACAGGAGGCTCTACACACGGAAATGCTCCCATTTCCCCATGGGCACTGGTGTGAGTGCATGTGCACATGCAGATCCCCATGTTCATGCATGAGCCCATGTGTCCACATGATTCCATGTGTGTCTGTGTATGAGTACATGTGTGTGCCCCAATCTATACATGTTTGAGTCTACACATATGCACATGTGTGTCCACATGTGTGCTGGGTGAGTCCAAATGTATTTATGTGTGAATCTATGGGTGAGTCAATGTATTTGCACATGTAAGTCCACACATGCACATATGAACCCACAGATGCCTGCCCCTTTGCCCATGGCCTGCACTGCTTCTCCTATGTGTTGGATGGGGAGTAATTGTGTGTGTGCATGCATGTATATGTGGGCTCACATGTAAGCTGAACAGGTGTGTGTGTGTGTGTGTGTGTAAATATATGTATGTGTGTGAATGTGGAGGGATGGTCTCTCAGCCCACTGACTTCACAGTGAAGCTTTGTTCAGTTTCCCTGGGTGTGACAGCTGACAGCTATGTCCTGCCCTGTGAACTCTCTCAGCCCTTTGGTCTGAGGTCACTTGGATGGCATGGACCAAGAAACAGGAGGCAGGAAAAGTGAATCCAAGTGTTTATGGAGATCAGGAATGCAGCTTGATGAAGCTCTGACAGAGCAGAGGGAGGTTCTGGGCAGTACAGGGTAGGTGGGGTCCTGTGTGGGCAGAGGGGAGCCTTGGAACGCCTTGTCTCTGTGTGAGGCAGTGTCTGAGATGGGATTCAAGACTGAGCATCCCTTCTTGTGGCTTCATGATGTCAGCTGTGGCTGGGCTATTTCACCTGCAGAGAGCCATGGGTCAGAAGGGCAGGCATTACCCACACCCACAGGTGCCAACCCTCCCAGGACTGCCTCAGCCCTGCCTGTGGCCAGCCCAGCCCATCCCACCATGTCCCTGGTTGAGCACTTGTCCCACTTGTCTCTGCACAGAGTGATACTAATCCCTTGCTCACCTTGATGAAGGTGACAAAGCCACTGTAAAGCAGTGTGAGGAGGAAGAGTGCCACGAAGGTGCACAGTGTGGGCCACAGGCTGCCATCCTCCTCCATCTCAGGGTAGTCGTTGCTGTTCTCGTCCCTGCTCTGGGGCAGTGGGCTGGTGGTAGCGACCAGACCTGGGGAGGAGCAGGCATAGTGAGCAGGTTCCTACCCTCTCACACTTATACATGGGGCCTGGACTTCACCTTGTGTCTCCCTAGGGTCTCTGTCTTCTTGCTTGTACTCCCCAAGCATTCTCCTGCCAGCCAACATGGGCACTAGTGAATCAGTCACCAATAGAATGGGACCAAAGACAGCCATCAGCAAGTCAAGCCAACTACCATAATGGGGTGCCAGAGGTGAGGCAGGGGCACTAGGTGGATCTAGACCCAGGAATAGGATAAACTCTTTAGGAAGGGGCTGTTGGGGTGAGGCATCCAAAGCCAAAAAGTGTAACCCTGCAGAGTGGCTGGGCAGCATTCCAACCAGAAGGAACAGGGCACTGTGAGCAGCTCCAAGTACACAAGTGGGAGAGCTGACAGCACCAGCCCAGGGGGACCTCACCCTAATGACAATGGGGGAGGTATTGGAAGATCTTAAGAAAGGCTATGTCATAACCAGGTGTGAATATAGGAAACACAGCTGGAGACTGCAATGAGGTCCAGGGTGAGGTGGGGGACTGCTGCTGTCCAGGCCCAGGGAGATGTACTTTCATCAAGCACACCCCATCCTACATGGGAAGAATTGATGGGAGTTATCACAAGCCACAGGGCTAGTGTGCTGCAGTCCTCTTTATCAGTGAGTCCCACAGAGTAAATCACTCACAGTCAACTGTGACCTGAAAATACTACAAGGAAAATTCCAGAAACAAAGAGCTCAGAAGTTACAAATTGCATCCTGTTTGAAGGTGTGGTCAACCCCACCCTCCCTAGGGTGGGACCACTGCTTTGTTCAGTCTTTTTATCTACATCACATGTCTTTAGTCAATCAGATGCCTCTCAGGTACTGGTGGACAGTCATGTTGTTGCAGTGCTTTGTGAAGAGGGATTGTCCCCAGCTGAGGATACAGAACCTGAATGGTCTGGGAACAGATGCTCCATAATGAGAGGGGGCATTGTACTTTGTTTCTGCTAGTTTCATTTCCTAGTGATTCATTCTTCTCATAATTCACAAAGATACTGCTCCATGGTGAATTGGAAATTTACAAAGGGAAACTTCCTTTGCCACAGGTAATTGGAAAAGTCTGGTGTCTCAGTCATACAATTTGCTGAGACACCATACCCAATACCCCAAATTTAAAGGAGAGGTTTATTTTGGCTCACACTTCAGTCCATGGTTTTCTGGCTCTAAGGTAGAAACATGATGGCAGAGGCACATGACAGAGGAGCTTATGCCTCAGCTTATGCCAGTGGGGAAGCACAGATTGTGAAGGGAGGAGCTGGGTAGGAAGATAAACCCTTCTATGTCCAACCCCCAGTGCACACCTCTTTTGAGAGCTCACCTGTTAACAGCAAGTCAGCTATAAACTGATTATAAGGTGAATCAATCATCTTTTCAAAGCCTAACCTATGAGTAGAGGAGGCTTTGGAGGATGTGTGATATAAAACATAACATCCCACCACTGGTCCCTAAAAGACTCATTTGCATCCCTTTATGAAAATTGCATTTAGTCCATTTCTAAGAGTTGTCAAAGTCCTAACAGCTCCAGAATTGTTGAAAAGGCCAAGTCAAAAGTCTCCTCTGAGACTAGAGGCAAATTCTCATCTGTAAGCTCCTGTGAAAATCAAAAGAAACTTAAACACTGCCAACATACAATGGCACAGGGTAAAACTTCCCATTCCAAAGGGTGGAAAAGGGTTTTAGAAAGCAATGGAACAAAAGTAAGACTGAAATCCCACATGGAAAACATTCAACCCTGTAGCTAGCTCCATGTCCCACACCTAGGGCTAGCTGTGGTGAGATGAGAATGTCAAACTGCTTGGCTGGCCCTGCTTATCCCACTTAGGTAGTCTCTAGCCTACTGTGTTGTCAGTGGTTGCATCCTTCATGGCTTCTGTCTTGGCATGGCTTTGCTCACACCTTGTGGCTTTCCTGACTCCTCTAGTTTCCTGAGATCTCCACTGTGCTTTCAGCTTTACTCATAACTTCATACACTTCCCACACAGGGGCACACTACCTGGACTTCTTCTGAAATCTGTGGGAAGCCTCCTTGATGCTACAACTTTTGCATTTTTCATGCCTGTAAAATCAGTAGTAGGTGGATGATGCCAAGGTCTGTTTCCAACTTGATTAGTAGCCAAACCCCCTTCAAATGGGGCTGCAAAGGCCTCTGAGTAGCTGGATGGCTGATCACTGTGAAGTGAATCCTGGTGATAAACTGCCAATGGAGATCTTGTTCCCAATTTTCGAGGTAGCCCTTCCTAAGTACAGTGCCCTGGGGGCTTTTGTCTCAAAGCAAAATCTTTTACTTTTGCAATTTTGAGCCTTCCAAGGGTGGAGACTTGCTGGTTCTCAGATGCCCTCAAGCAAAATATATGTCTTCTTTTTAATGCTAATGTTATCAGCAAGGAATCTCTCTTCTGCTCCAAATTTTAGGCCCCAACTTTACAGGAGATTCAATTATTCAAGCTGTGCTCTTTGCTCTTGATTCTCAATGTGGAGCTGACTAAAAGCCCTAAAGTACTCATGCCATAGCTTCAACATTGGGCTGTCTTGAAATTCCCTCTGCCAGATTGATTGGTCCATCATTCATGATTTCAATTTCATGTAAAGTCTCTGGCACATCAATGGCACAGGGAAAAGAAAACATAGAAAAATTTTCTGTCAGAGCATAACACTCATGGCCTGGAGGCTGACTGCTAATGGAGTTCTTGCTTCAAACTGAAATCTAATCCTGGTCTTTTCTGTCTGTTTAGAATCTTCCAACAGAATCAGCTCACTGAATTCTAGGGCTGCTTCTCCAGTCAGTATCTCCAAACCTTTCTAAATGACTGCAAACTAGTTCCAAAGGTTTATGAACCACATGATCAAGTATTGTTATAGCAATGAGCCCCCTTCTCTGGTACCAAACTCTGTCTTACTCACAATAACTGACATCCATAATTTAAAGGACAAGAGGCTTATTTTCACTCACCTTTCAGTCTGTAGTTTTATGGCTCTAAGGCAGAAATAACATGGCAGAGGAACATGGCAGAAGAGAATCTGTGTGGCAAGGAGTCAGAGAGGGTGAAAGGAGGAGTGATACAGGGAGATAGACTCTTCTGGGTCATGACTTCAGTGACTGCCTCTTCTGACCATACCCCCACCTCCTAACAACAAGTCAGCTCTAAGACTCCATGATCAAATCATCTTCCAAAAGCATTGGGGGGACATCTGGATATGAACCATACCACTTCGGGTAAGGGGGCAATGGTTCAACACTAGGTAGACCATGGCGCACAGATGCTGCTGAGCACAGGCACAAGGAATGGCCAGGAGAAATTTGGAGCTTCCATCAATGCTGGAAGTTCTCAGTGTTGGATGTGAAACACCACAGAAGACACTGGTGAGGACAGGAGTGCCCTCCAGCACAGAAGCTCTCACTTGGCTCCTGAGTGAGGAACATGTGCTCTGGTTGACATGCTCAAAGCCTGGTTCTCCTCATGAGAGGGATCTGTGACAGGCTCTGGCTGGGGTGGAACAATTGCTGTTTTCAGTCCTCATACCTGGTTCCACTTTTCTTCCAACTCTATTCTCATCACTGTCACAAAGGATATTTTCCTGTTTGTTGAATGTCAATGATTGCTGACTGCATGCTGGCCACTGCACAGATGGCTGGCAGAGCTATGGGAGGTGTACAGGGCTGCACTTCCCACCTCTGGGCTTTCTACTCCTCCAGTAAGGAAGGAGATCTTTTCACTGAAGCAGGAGTGAGATGAGCTGGGTGGAGCAGCATGTAGGCTACTGGCTCTGAACATTTTGGGATGGATCAGGACTACTATTTGGAAGGGCTTTGGGCTTTGGCAAAATTGGAGCTCTGCAGCATCCTGGCTTGGCCTCAGCTCATAGAGGACCCAGGGAGAACTGATGGGGTGAGGAGTTGGCATTTGCAACTATTCTGGGTTCCTTCTGAGACAGGCGATGCCTACATGAAGGCTTGGTGGTTCCTTCATGTCCCCTTCCTCTGGCAGAGGGCCCTCTTCTCTGCCTATATCAAGGAGGGACAGGGCAGCTGTCGTCGTTTCTTACCCAGGAGCTCAGGTCAGCTGATCCTCTCTAAATTCTCAGCGCTACTGTGGCTTTAAATACAATCATGATTTTAAAAGTTTATTTGATGCTTTTCTTTTTTCATGCCATGAGCACCTGTCTTTCACTACTTTCCCTGGGTCCTTACTGGAAATATAGAGCATTTGTGTTTTAAGAACTTGCCAGGCCACAGAGGTCAAGACAGGGTGCAGGGGGCAAAGCTGGTCTCTGAGAGACCAGAGGGCTATTGTAATCATCCACACAAAGGACCAGGCATGGCTGGTGCAGAGAGACAGGAGGATTCATGGTGCTCCAGACTTGCAGGGAGACTGATGGGACTTGGGCAGATGTGGTTGTTCCTCAAGGTGGGAGCATGGTGCCAAGGGCCAAGATGCAGGGCCAGGGGGCAGGAAGGGACTTGTAAAGTTATTTCCTAATAACGATGATGGCCATGATGCCCTGCTTCAGAGGCCTATTTCCCCATTTTTCCTGAGTGCTTTGGTTTTGGAGAAAGAGACTCATTCCTGACTGACTCTGGGACAAGAAGGACTGACCTACGGAGGTCTTGATAGAGGTCCAGAGAAAGGAGATCAAGAGCCCAGGATCCACTGAGGAAGCAGGTAGAGCCTTGGGGAAGCTTCACAAATGTGAAGAGGAAGCCTCACCAGCCATGATGCAGGGCAGTGTGCTTCAGGGTGGCTGAGGCTGTCACACGAGGGAAGCAGTTCCTCTGCCTTCCTGAGCCTCTACAACTTGCTGATGGGTTATGGTGGGAGTGCCACTTTCTCACTGCCAGAACACTTTGGTTCCAGGGACCATGGGGCAGGCAGGCCCTTGGAAACTGGCAGGCAGTGTACATAGAGGATCTGACCTGTGCTTGCTGTAGATCCTCCCTGCCCAAAGTGTAGCCCTAGGAGGCTAATGCACCTGGCCAGGCTGGAGTCCACACGAAGACAGATCCACCTCACAAAGATACTGGCTGGTGTGGTCTGGTGAACAGATGTGGCAATGCTGGCATCAGGAGTACACCCCTCACCACTGGTTCACATACCTCACACTGTGACAGTGGCCCGTGGATGGAATACCCCTGACCTGATCCATGCTGTCTGCTCCAGCTCCTTTAGTGCTCATGCCACCTGGGAAGTGCAGTGGGGTCCCCAGCAGATGACAGAAATAAGCAAGGCCCAGGAGCCTGCCCCAGGTCCAAAGGCAGAACAGGAGATAGCATCCTCCAAGGAAGCCTGGGCAGGGGCTGGGTCTCTCCACACACTGGAGGACATATTTATGCTCAAGTGTCCCTGCTGTGCACCTGAACATACATGTATACAGTCCTCAGTACTGGAACCTGGGGCCCAGGAACTTGGCAACCCAGGGGCAGGAGGGTCAAATAGCCTTCAGATCCCTTGGTCTGGCCAGTGAATGGGGTAGGGTCACCTGTTACATCCAGGATGGCTAGCTCACTGGAGACCAGGTTAATGTGGAACTGACAGCAAGGTGCTCTCAGCAAAATCCTTTCAGTTTAGTGAAGAGAGGGTCAGGCAGGAGGCCATATCTATGGGGAGGAGTGGGCAGGCGCACAGTGGGAGGAAGCAACAGCGCTGAGCCAATGAAGGGCAGGTGACATGGTTCTGGCCCCAGCTGGGTGGGCAGGACTTGGGGATGGAGCATCAAGCATTCCTCTAATGCATAGAGGGGTGAGGATGGAGGAACCTGCACTATGGGGCACCTAGAGATGGGGATGGGGCCATTGCTCATGGCTGCTGCCACAGAAGGCCCACATAGGCAAAGTGTGGGTCAGGCTCTGTTCTCTGTGGTCTCCTAAGGCTACCTCACAAGCCACTGTGGGACAGGCATGGGGTTCAGGGCTGCAGCAGGTGTTGAAGACCTGGGCCCAGTGCAGCTAGGCACAGGTGCCTCCCCAGGGAATTCTGGGCTGGATCCAGTCTCCAGTTCACCGCAGGGTGCCCTCCTATGCTCCTTGACTGAGTCTGGGCACAGGTACCACAAATGTCAGGTGATCACCTCTGCCCCAGGTTCAGGCTTTGGCAGGCAGAGAAGAGGCCAGCTGGGCAGCAAGGACCCTACACAGCAAGTACTCCCGACACTGGGGCCTCTACTCTGGCCCCTGAGCAGCACATGATCAGGGCCAGCCTGAACACATGGATCTGAATTTTCAGCTGCTATAAAGCCAGGCTCCTCTGCTGGGGGTCTCTGGAGACCCTTCTGGTTTCTGAAGGTGCTGGCTTTGCTCCTGGACTTTGAGACCCCCTGGGGAGCACAGGTATGTGGAGGGGCCACATCCACCTTCATCCCTGTAGATGCACCTGCCTGGTATCCAGCAGTGGCCACCCTTTGTGAGCCATCCAATGTGACACCCACCTCCACTCTGCCTTGGCAAGGCTAGCCCAGCAGGGTTGGGGCAGGGCAGGTGAAGCCAGTGCTCACCCCAGACTTGGAGAGAAGGGTGCTGGGGTGGGATGTGGAGCCAGGAGTGCTGCAGCAGCTCCCCCGTCCAAGATGAAGGTGGGGCCCCTTAATCCTGCCCCTAGCAACAAGCTGGCCAGCTATCTACTGGCTGTGACTCACCACCAGTGTCCAGGCTCCTGTTGGCACTGAGCACTGTCCGGGAGGCCTCGTGTCCTACCACACATGTGTAGGCAGCCATCAGGGGGCTGGAGGTGGCTGGGATGTGCAGAATGCTCCAGGTCTGGAAGATGGCATTGCCCTCCTTGGGAGTGGAGTGGGCTGTGGCAAACCGGGAGCGGTCCACTTCCTGCTGGCCCTCCAGCCATATGAGGAGGATGTCAGGAGGTGAGAAGCCAGAAACCTCACACAGAAACCATGTGGCCGCCTTAGGAGAGGAGGGTGTATCCAGGAGGCTGACAGAAAGGTTGCTGGGTGCCTTGGCCACTGTGAGGGAGGTGGAAGAAGCTCGTCATGCTCTGAGCAGGAGGCACCGAGGGAAAAGCCAGGACAGTGGGCCTCCCCATTTCCTTGAATGCAGAATTGGCATATGTACTGCTGGGGCGCCAGTAGCTGGGGTGGGATCCAGAGTGGAATTGGATGGGCTACCAGGTGGAATGTGGGGTGGAGCTGGGGTGGGTAATGGGGTAGACATGAGACAAGCTGTGGGGTGGGCGGGGTCCTGGGCAGCCCTGTCCCCAGGCCTGGGAGCTGCCTCACCTTCTTCCCGCTGTGCTGTCATCTCCTTGGGGGACTCAAGGCCTGGGTGGCTGAGCGTGCAGGTGACAGGTGTCCCATGGTCCCATGTGGTCCTGGGTAGGCCCAGACGGCTGCTCAGTGTTTCGGAGCCATTGAGAAATTGTTTCCTCTCTGTGCTGCTATTGACAGCTTCCCTGTCCACCATCCAGGACAGCTTGGCTTCCTGAAGGTCATGTCCCACCACCAGGCAGGTAAAGGTGGCCTCCTTTTGGAACCACAGGCCCTCCAGGCTAGGGTGAAGCAGGTAGATGGCAGGAAGGTATGTGTGGCTGGGACATTCTGCAAAAAGATGGTGTGGGGAAAAGGACCTATTCACTTGGCCTAGGAATGGCCTCAAGGGGAGCTGGGGTTGTCTTTGCCTCACAGGCTCTGGGGATTGATGTGCAAAGGCCCATGCTGTGGACAGAAGTTTTCTAGTTACTGTCCAACCCATACTCCCTGAGCCAACCTGGGCCTGGTACTTCTTGTGCTCTGTCTCAGTTGGGCAGGGACTCACAGCAGGACAAGTCTTCTTGGTGTCCCTTGCCCTGTACCCTTTCCCTACTCTGTGTCCTTTGTGGCTGACCAGTCTGCTGGGCTCCCACTCTCCCAGCTGCTGGTTGGTGTTGGTGGGGGTGAGGCCTATGTATGCTCCTTCTGGCTCCTGTTATCCCAGGGCACAAGTGCATAGGCTGGGGCCTCCTCGAGGGTTAAGGCATGTTGACCTCTTCCAAGGAGCTCTTGGACGCTCCCCTAGCCTGCTGAGGTGAGTGTATCCAACTTCCTGTGCTAGGTGTTCACTACCTCAGCATTGATGAACCCTACTTTAGCATGATCTCCTCAGCTCCCTGACAGTGTGTGGCTTCTGGTGGGGCCTCTGACTGGCCACTTGGAGGCTCCTAGAAGTCATGGGTTTCTAAGTGTTCAAGAACATCCCTATAACTAACAAGCACCTCCATAGTTCAGAGTACAGTCAATGAGTTATTGGTCCATGGATTTGCAATAGATCAGGATCAGCCAAAAACCAGGGGTCTCTGGCTCTTCTTCTTTTTCCTCCTTCTTTTCTTTGCCTCCTCCTCTTTATTAATATTTTTGATCAACAAACTTGTATATACTTAGCATGTATAGCAGGTTGTTTTAAAATATGTGTGCAGTGTGGGATGGCTGACTTGAGCTAATTAACATATACATCATCACCTCACATACTTATTTTTGTAGTGAGAACACAGGAAATGTACTCTTCCAGCGATTTTTCCAGAGTACAAGATGTTGCTAGTAGTTAGTTATAGGATGCATTCCTCCTGTCTGATTGAAATTCTGTGTTCTTTGACAAATATTCCCCCTAGCCTCCTACCAACCACACTCTACTCTGCGATGAGCTCAACGTTTATGTTCTAAATCCAAGTAGATTGCGTGGTGTTTGCCTTTTCTTCATTGGCAGCTTATTTCCCCAAACATAACATCCTTCAGCTTCATCCATGTACAAATGACAGGATTTCCTTCTTTTCCTAATGGATGAGCTGCATGGCCAGTGTATCTGTCCCACATTTCCTTGTCTGCTCATCCACCAATGGGCACTGTGTTGTTCCCATGTCTTGGCTCTTGGGAGCAGGGCTGTGGTGCCCGTCAGTGTGCAGGTGTCCCTTTGACACAGAATTCATTTCCTTTAGGTTTATCCTCAAAAGTGGGCTTGCTGCATTATATGATAGCTTTATTTTTAATTTTCAGAGGAGACCCCTCTGTTTTCCTTAATGACTAGGGTAACTTACATTCCTGCCAACAATGTGTGGGGCTCCCTCTCTGTACCCCCTATGCCATTTATCATTTTGCTTTGATAGCAGCCACTCTAAGTGGAGTCAGGAGATGGCTCATGGTTTTATTTCACATGTCTCTGATGACTAGTGCTGTTGAACAGATTTTCATATATTGCTCAGCCATATATATATATATTGTGTTTGGAAACATGCTGCTTAGAGCTTTTGCTGTTTTTTCAGTTCTTCATTCAGTTGTATTAAAATTAAAGAATAGAAGCATTTGCCTGCTTTTTAAATCAATTGTACACCTTGCCACTATTTCTCCAAATCCTCAGTTGTCTCTTTACCTTGTCATTAATTTAACTGTGCAGAAGTTTTCCTACTCGAGAGCTTTCTTCTTTCACGCAAGACTTTACCATCATAAACTTCCCTCTCAGCACAACTTTTGCTGTGTTTTATAGGCTTCAAGTATGTTGAATTTTCAGTCTGTTTGCCTTAAGAAATTTTAAATTTTTCTTTTAATTTCTTCTTTTGCCCATTGCTTATTCGGGAGCCTGTGGTTTAATTTCCAAGTATTTGGAAAGTTTCTGATGTTCTTCCCATTATTGATTTCTACTTTTACACTGCTTTGGTCAGAAATGATCCCTTATATGATCTCTGTCTCTTTTTATGTTTTCTGCAGCCCAACATGTGATCAGTCACACAATGTTCCATGAGCTGTGAGAAGAGTGTATCTTCTGCAGGAGTTGGACAAAATGTCCTGTAAATGTCTGTTAAATCTACTGATCTGGGTGCAGTTGGATTCTGTTTCTTCATTTTCATCTGGATGGTGGGTGGATGCTGAAAGTGGGGTGTTGAAGCCCCTAATATATTGCAGTCTATCTCTGACTTTAGACCTAGCAGTGTCTGCTGTATGCATTTGGGTGTGTGAATATCTGCAAGTATTATACTCATTGCTGGCTAGATCCTGCTATCACTATGTAGTTAACTTCTTCTTATTTTTGCAGTTTTTGATTTAAAGTCTGTTTTAATGTAAGTATAGCTGCTTCTACTTGCTCTGGTTTCTGTTTGCATGGAGTGTCCATCTCCATTCCTGTGTCCCAGCCTATGTGTCCTCCAGGTGATAAGAATGGTCAGACCTTGCTTTCTTTATCCATTCAAGTCACTCTACATCTTCTAACTGGAGAGATTAATTCCACTTATTGTAAAGATTTTGATGGATAAGCAAGGACTTGCTTCTGCCATTTTGTTAATAGTTTTCTGGTTGTTCTGTGACTCATTTGTTCCTCTCTTCTCTTGTTTGTCTGAGGGGTTTGAGGCTTTCTATGGAGCTGAACTTATTTCCTGTGTAATTGTAGATCTGCTGCTACAGGTTTGCAGTTCCCATGGGGCTCCAAGGGAGAAACTTGCAGCTATAGAGACTATTGTAAGCTGATACAATTCAACTGTAGCCTGTCTTAGTCACTTTCTCATTGCTATGACACAATGCCCGACAGCCACAGATTAAAGGAGGAGAGGTTTATTCCTGCTCATGATCTGTTGAGGTTTCAGTAGTCCATAGTCAGCTGGATCCAAGGCAGAGTTACTTGGTGGCATGAGGCAGAGAGGAATCAGGGAGGAGGAAAGGGTACAGATTCTTCCAGGCTATCTCCCCTTGTGACCCACTCCTCCAACCAGGTTTCTCCTTCCAATGTCACATTTAGCTGTAATCTCTTCTGTGGAATAATCCATTGATGAGTATCGCACATCTACAATCCAGTCTCCTTCTTAAAGCCCATCTAAGAGGGCATGAGGATCTAGGGGGACATCTAGATGTAAACCATCACAGTCATACAAATATGCTAGAATTTTGTCTCCCCCTTAACAATTTACATTTTTGTTGCCTTAAATTATACACATACATATCATGTGCTCCCTAATGATTAATTGTAACTGTAGTTATTTTTGCCCATTGGGACTTTTAACCTTCATTGTAGTGGTCTGAGGATTTATATAGCATCATACTGATTTGTTGCGAAGGTAACTGTAAGTCTTCCTTTACCAGGGTGTTCCACACTTTCATGTGTTTTCCTATGAAGTTGTCTCCTGGTGGCGACACATCATTGTAGCCTCTGTGTGTGATGGGAGGACTCTGATCCTCCTTCACTTCTGAAGATAACTCAGCTGGGCATAGTATTCTTGACTACTGAGCTTTTTTCTTGCAGCACTTTGACTATATCACCCCACAGCCTGCACGGTCTGTATTGAGAAACTCCTGACAGTCTGATGGTTCTCTCATAAGAGATGATGACTATTCTCTTGCTCCTGTTAAAATCCTTTGTCTTTGCTTTTAACAGTTTGGCTATAGTACAGCTTGAAGAGGACTTTTTGGGGGTTGAGTTCATTGGAGAACCTTTAAGCTTCCTGTATTCGATGTTCTTATTGCTCCCAAGACTTGGGAGGGTTCAAGTTATTATTTCATAAAATATGTGTTCTGTGACTTCCTCATCTGGAATTCCCACAATTCCCTTTCTGGAATCCCCACAATGAATTTATTCACTTAATGATGTCCCATAGTCCTGTAGGCTTCCTTATTCTTTTTTAAAAAATGCTTTCCCCGTTAAATTTATTGGTACATTTAAAGTAAACAATAGTTACATTTATCATTGGGATATTGTACCTTTACATGATATGTCTTGGTTCTTATTTTTTCTCCATACCCCTGCTCTCCCTTCACCCCCTTCACCCTTCCCTATTTACAAAAACTTTGTTTACATTTTCCTTTTTTTCACAGTTTTTCTTTTCCCTTATTTCCTTTCCCCTCCCTGTCCCACTTTCCCATTAGCCTTTTTCTTCCTATTTCAAACTATCAGTTATACCATTTGAATCTTATTTACATTTTTAGGCTTTCACACCAGAGGAACTATTTGGTATTTACTCAAGTGTGTTCTGTTTTTCATTTATTTTTTTCCCCTCTGATAGTGTTATTTCAAAAGATCTATTTTTAAATTCAGAAATTCTTTGTACTACTTGATCTAATCATTTTTTAAAATTCCATTCACTGAGTTCTCCAACTCTGAGATTTCTGTTTGGTTGTTTAAAGAATGTTGAATTTCTCATTCAAATCAGAAATTGTTTTTTCTGATAACTGTTTGCTGGTAATCTCTTATATCTTACTGAGTTTCCTCAAAGTTATGTTTTATTTTCCTTTTTGGGCATTTCATAGTTTTTTTTCCCCCCTGGAAGTCTACTGTTAGAAAATTATTGTATTTGTTTAGAGGTTTATATTTCCTTTATTTTTGTTTTTCTTTGGTTGTTGTTATTGTTGTTACTTCATTGACATTTGTGTGTATGATATAGCATCTTCCAATTTACAGGGTGGTTTTTGTAGGGAAGACGATTCCTGTGGGTGGGTCCTTGGAGTCGGTGGGCTAGGGTGCATGGCTTCAACCTTGGAGAATGTGGGAGGACCTTCTGTGGGTGCCTGGAAGCCTGGTGTGCACAGCGTGCCTTGGAGAGGTGGGACCAGTGTCCCTCCCTCATCCTGGGTGAGACCTAAGGTCAGATGTACCACCACAGAAAGCACCCAGAGGAAGCAGAGTAAGGTCTGACCAGATGGGAGGGGGTGTGCAGGGAGGGACTGCTCACCTGTGTTCCTGGTGATGGTGGTGTCCCTAGTGGTGGTGGTGGTGGTGGTAGTGGTGGTGGTGGTATCTCTGGTGGCCTGAGTGGAGCCCCTCTCTGCTCTAGGAAGTGTGAAGGGCCCCAGGGAGTTCTGAGCAGTCCAGGAATCTGGAACCAGAGGACCAGTGGGCAGGTGAGGGAGAGAAAACAGAGTGGACAGGGTGACAGGGGATAGCCAGGCTGAGGACAGAAGGTCCCTGCATGGAGAGGGCTGCGTCTGTGCTGAGCCAGTGGCCTCTTGCATACTGCGAGGATCTGGGGGGACAATGTCAGCTGGTCTCTGAGGGGACAGAGGACAGTAAAGTGTGGGGTGTTGGTGCAGGGAAGGGCTGGAGCTGGCCCCTATCCATGGACCACCCTGGGGAAGGTGTGGGACCTCCTGTGGGTCTTTGTGGGGTCCCGGGCCACATACCTGGTTGCTGGAATGTCTTCTTCGAGCTCCACTTGTCTGGAGAGGTGCTGCATTCGTGGGGGCCAAGATTCAACTCAGCCATCGGAAAGGAGAGCTGGCTGCTCACGGTGTAAACTCCGCCATTCTGGACAGTGGGGAAGGTCTGCTGGGACTTCGTCCTTGCCCCTGAGTGCCAAGTGACCTGTATGTTTGCACCATACCCAGACGCTAAGCAGACTAGGTATACGCGGTCATTTTCCCCTGGTGGTCTGCATGTCGAAGTGATGAATATGTGCAGATCCTGTTGGGTGGCTGTAAGACAGACAGTGGGTGCTGAGAATGCTAGGCTGTGGGTGGGAGAAGTCCCATCCTCTCCCAGGACTGGACCCAGGTGCTCCTTGACCCTGGGCTGTCCCTACTGGACACAATGCTGGTCCCCTGGGGTTTCTCAGGCAGAGTCTGAAGTTCAGAGAAGTGGGTTGGCTGTGGGCTGCAGGTCTCAGCCTAGTCCCTAATGGCTTTGCCTCATTCACCTTGCCCTGGTTCCACACATGGCTTACCCAGGGACAGTCGCTGCTCTCTGAGGCTGCACTTCTGTGTCTAGCCAGGAGCAGACCAGCAGCTGTTCTGTGGCCCCCAGGCCTCCCGCCTCTCACTTTTCCACACTTGCAGTGCTGCTGCCCTCTGGACATCTCCTGCCTGGGTTCTACAGCAGGGCCTTGGCCTTGTTGTCCTCAGCTGCCTCTGGTTCAGAGGGGCCCCGATTCTCTCCCAAACCTCTCTCAACCTCACTGGGCTGTTCTTTACTGCCCAGAGGTTCTGGGCTTTGAATCCTCTGACCCCTCTCCCAGGCACTGCTGAAGGATATGGCAGGGCTGCTGTTGTGGGACAGATCACAGCTCCTAGAATTCAGGGGCACAGTCATTCCCAAGACCTCAGAGTGCAGCAGTGCTGGGTACATTATGTCCAATAATAAACACTAGGATAAGGTCACACTGGATTGGGATAGGTGTTTGACCCAATAGCACTGTGTTTCCTTGTGGAAGGGTGATGGGGACAGGGACATGCATGTGGGGACAATGTTGGGACAAAGAGGCAGTGAGCAGCACTGCTACACTGAGCCAAAAAACAGCAGAACAAGGCCCCCCAGAGTTCTCCCTGTGGCAGAGGAGACCTAGCTCACAAAGCCTGGTATGAGACTCCTGGGCTTCAGACGGGAAAGTAGATCTCTTAGACACAGCTCAGGTCTCTGCCCAGTCCCTGAACCCTTAGAAAACTAGAGCAGATTTTTTTTTTTATCAGAAGTAGAGTGATGGAAGAGAATGTGGAATTGGGTGGTAGCCCTGGATGACCCAGTAATGCTGCCCAGGGTGGTGTGGCCCAGCCTGACCTGGCTTACAGAACTGATCCTCACCAAGGTGCCATCTAAATGCTTCCGGCATGACTCCGTCAGGGGCCATGGTGTCTCCCAACTCCTGTCAGTCTCTTCTCTTCTCCCACTGCCTCCTCTTCCCAGCTGACCTACACCAGCCAGGACCCACACAGCCTCTGGGCTGCCTCCAGCTGCGTATACTTGGCCAGAAGCCCAGTATGGCTCCCACTGCGTCTCTGCAGGCTCCTATCTGGAGGAAACCTGGCCTCAAGACACAGCCCCCAACTTAGGGTTTCAGTTTCCACTCTTGCTCCAGATCCAGCAGGCACTGCCCTGCCGCGATAACATAGCCTTTCTCCTGTCCTGTGCCATCCCCACCAAATGTCCTCCTTACAGGCATCATGAAGTCAGGTGGTGGTTCCAACCCCATCCATGGGTTACACCTTCAACCCAGGTAGGAGGTAGGAGGAAGGGGAGTTCTGTGAGAGGATTGGGCAGGATGGGATGGTGCCTTAGCAGGGTAGTCCACAGAGCCCTGACCCCTTCCTTCCACAAGAATAGGCCAGAAGGAACCGATCAGAAGCCAGGACACCCCTTCAGGCAGAGATCTGCTGGCCAGCCTGGACCTCAAGTGAGATCTACAAGCCATGAGAAACTCCCAGTGGGGCCACCTGGTCTGGCATGTTGTTACAGCCGCCCACACATATTGGGACCCTGCCCACCCAGAATGTTGGCTTCAATGTCCACACTCCTGTCCCATCCATGCTGTAGCCCACCAATCCCTGTGCCCACACAGTGTGATGCCCAGCTCATTGCCCAAAGTGTACATGGCCAAATGGCTCTACCTGCTCCCCCTGCATTCCCGTGACACACATCTCTCAGAAACAAAGGTTTGGGATGAGATACCAAGTTTCTCAGTCCCAGCCTGGCCAAAACAGTACCAGCAGTAGTCAGCGGTGAAAGGTAGAGCCCCTGCTGAGAATATGCAACAGCAGAGCCTGTACCTGGTCTCCAGTGGTGACCGTGTGTGAAGACCTGGCCTGTGAATGTATCTGTTTTTGCCTTTCTCATTAGTCCTCCTGCTGCCCTCCTGTGTCCCTCCCAGAGCCTGTGGAACCACAAGGTAGCCCTCAATTTGTGTCCTCTTAGGATGCCGCACAGTGCAAAGGCGAGAAAAAGGAAGACGATGCCACAGAAGGTGGTTTCACAGGAGAGCACATTGGCATTTATTTCAGAACAACATGTGTGCAAACAGCAAAGCAGAGCACGGGGACCCAGCACTGCGAACATGGTAGAAATATTGGGCTGGTGTGGAAAGAAGCCTGTGTCCTAGATCACAGACCATAGGAAGAGGTACAAGTCTAGGGCCATACAGCCAGGCCTCCCCAGCCCAGGCCCTGCAATTGGGCTCTTGGTCTCTGGTGTCCTCCCACAGCTGGATCACTTAACCTGCAGGTGACAGAGATAGCATCAATGGGCATCCCAGTGACAGCAAAGGTGGGGGCAGCAAGGACCCAAGTGGCCTGGATCACTGTGCAGCCCAGGCTCCTCCGCTATACCCCACACCACTTCCACCAGAGCTCTCTACCTTGAACAAGGTGACTGTGGTGCTGTAGAAGAGGCTCAGCAGGAAGAGCACGATGAAGGTGGAGGCAGTGGTCCACAGGTTCTCGAAGCCCTCTTCTTCGGCGTTCACCTCCCCCTCTGCAGGGGACATAGGAGGGGGGTCAGCAGTGCCTGCAGCCTATCTGGGGCTGGGAGCACAGGATGGCGGACAGCCAAGGCTGGGGTGGACACAGGCAATCAGGCAAGCAGGAGCAGACAGGGACAGAAAACTTTGTGAGGGGGGTCTGGGTGGCAGAAAGAGCGGGGTAGTCATGGCGCATTGACATGAGAGAGGGCAGAGGCAGGGACCCAAGGGACTGGGCTTCCAGTGAGTCCTGGACCCTCCTTGAGCAAGGGGCACAGCCAGAGCCACTTGGCTAAGAAGCAGGGGTGGTGTGGAGTGTGCAGGGGTAAAGTGAGGGCCAGGCTGCTCCTGATCACCTCCCCAGGGACTCTGATAATAGGAACAGAGCCCAGAGTACATCCTGGTTGGATGGCCCTGCCCTAACAAAGTAACAGAGGCTTGGGAATCCTGTGTAGCTACTGCTGCTCTACCAGAGTGGCAGATATGTGGGGGACATACTGGCTGGCAGTTTCTGTCCTACGAAAGTTACAGAGGCCTGGGACATCCTGGCTGATCTTGTCCTACCAGAGTGACAGAACCTGGGGGCACCAGCTGGCACTTGCTGTCCTTACCAGAGTGACAGAGGCCTGGGGACAGGGGCTGGACTGGGACAGAGGCAGAGGAAGCTCTGTGGGACACAGTGAGATGCAGCTGTCAGGGTATATCTGCAGCTCAGGGGAGACAGTAGGAGCAGTCCCAGGCCAGCAGCACTCCTTGGGTGTAGGGACCTTACTTGGCCTGCCTGCAAAGCTGTGCTTTATTCCCTGTGCCCCAAATGGGTGGGTTGTATTTGCCTGCAGGACCATCTTGCTAATGTTGATCCTAGAGACCTGCTTACAGAGGGGCCACCCCTTTCCTGAAGGCTGGGTCTGGACTCCAAAACCTGCTGCCATTTGCATCGGACCTTGCTGCATTGTGTAGCCATTTTTCCCCAGAGTCTTCCTGAAGGGCACCTCCTTGGGCATCCCCAAGTTCAGGCTGATCTCTCTGAGAAGCTACAGCAGCACTGCCCTAAGGGGTGCTCTGAACTCTGTCTCTGGGACTAGGGATGGTGCCACAGCCAGAGTCTAGGCCAGACTGGGCCATAAAGCAACTCCATGGCAAAACAGAGGGAAAAGCAGAGCATGAGACAAGCCCTGAGGCAGCAAAATTAGGGGAGCCACTGCTGTGGTGGCCAGAAATGTGTGTGTGTGTGTGCGCACGCATGCCTGAGTGCTGAATCTGTGCTGTGTGTCCACCTGCTCCCATACACATGTATGTTCCTATGTGTCTTTGTGCCTAGTGCATGTACATGCACAAGCCTCTGTGTGTACCTGTCTCGTGTCTATGTGCACTTGGGTATAGATGGCCATGTGGCCATGCATGTGTTATGCGTGTGATGGTGTGCATGTGTATCTGTTTGAGTGTCACCACCTTGCGTGTTTGTGTATGCATTCATGTACATCTGTGTGCCTGTGTATTGGTGTGCGCAATGAGTGCACACACACGTGTCTGGCTTCATATCCCTGGGTGTGCCTGTGTGCTGACTATACCAGCATGGGCAAATGCTCAGCTGTCTGTCTGAAACAGCTACAGGGTCTTCAAGAACACACACTGCCTGTGTGAGCATCACCAAGGAACCAAGGCCTTCCCAAGCACTTGGAGGCCAAGTGCATGGGCAGGAATGGGTGAGGTAGAGGGGCTGTAGGCAGTGGACAAGAAGGGCACAGCATAGCCATGCCCCAATAGGCCAGGCATTGGATACTCAAAACCAGCATCTTTTGAAGGGATCTTTTTATTTCTAATTTTAGGAAATGCAACACTGCACACCCGAAATGGTTAGTTTGCACACAAATAACAGAGCAACTGAACCACAGTGCCTGGGCTGGCTGGGCAGCATGGTCAGTAGCAGGTGCGGGCCGTGTCAGACATGATCAGGGACACGTTGTACAGGGTGGGTTTACCAGTGGACTTGTCCACGGTCCTCTCAGTCACCACGTGGGGCAGGGCCTCGTGGCCCACGACACAGGTGAAGGTCTCTCCTGAGCTCCAGTCTTCCTCGGTCACTGTCAGCAGGCTGTGGGCATAGTAGAGACCTGGAGACTGGGTCTCGGGTATCGGGGCGCTGGTCACGTACTTGTCCGAGGACAAGGTCTGCCCACTCTGTAGCCACTGCACAAAGAAGTCTGCGGGTGCAAAACCCTTCACCAGGCAGAAGACGGTGGCCTGTTCGTGCAGGACCAGCTGTTCCCGGGCTGGGGGCAGCACATACACGGCAGGTGGGTGCTTGGCTTGCTCTGTGGGCAGAGAGGAGTTGGTGAGCACAGGGCTAGTGGGGGACAGGTGGGGTCCTGGGAGTGAGCGGGGTGGGGGCCGGGCCTACCTGTGTGCTTGGAGATGGTCTTCTTCAATGGGAAGGGCAGGTCCTGGTGAATCACAGTGCACGTGAATGCCTTCCCAGAGTCCCAGTCTTCCACACAGGCACTGGCCTCACCCTTGACACTGAGGGTGCCGTTAGGTTGGCTCACAGGATCTGCAATTTTGGTTGGCAGGTCCTTGCCATCCTGGTTGGCCCAAGAGATATTCAGTCCTCCACGGTGGGTCAGGCTGGTGACCAGGCAGGTCAGCTTGGCAGACTTGTTTAGGAAGGTGCCAGCAAAAGAGGGTGGGATGGGGAAGACTTCGATTTCTATGGATGGAGTTGCTGTGGGGAGAACACTGATGTGAGTGATGGTTGGATGTGAAGTCAGGGAAAGGTGTAGAGCCTAGGGCCAGCCCTGCCCCAGGTGCTGCTTGGTGCCACCTGACCTGTGTCCCCACTGCTCCCTGCCCTGCCCTTGGTATCTCCAGAAAGCCATAGCTCAGGAGCAGGTGGCCAGGTCTGGGGGGCATCCGTTCCACCCGAGTGGACAGCTGTGGGGTTACCTTGGACTGAAGGATGGTCTGGGCAGGGGATGGGCACTCACTGGGGATACACACGGAGGAGGACACATTCTTCTTGAAGGTGCCTGACTTGTGATCCACGCGGCAGGTGAACACCTTCTGGGCCAGCCAGTCAACCTCGGTGATGGTCAGTGTGCTGGTAACCTTGAAGGTCAGGGGCTGGGAGACTGTGCTCTCAGCTACCACCTGGTCTGTGATGAAGCCAGACCCCACAGGTACTCCGTCCCGTAACCAGGACACTGTGATCTGCTTGGGGCTGAAGCCCGTGGCCTGGCAGATGAGTTTGGATTCTCCAGAGTCGAGGAAGGTGTCTCGGGGTGGGACAAACACGGTCACATTGGGAGCCTGCTCGCTGGTCGCTGTGGCGAGGAGACAAGGTGTGAGCCTCGCCTGGCCCTAATCTCTGTGCTGTCCCTCCTGGCCTTGCCAGGGTCTCTGTCCCCAGGGAAAGCCTGGCTCTTACCTGGAAATGGTATTTCCACATTCTTGTTTTTGCTGCCATGCTTGACCTTGCACACCAGGTGCCTGTCTGTGACCTGGGTGATGTCCTTGGAGGGCAGGAGCACCTGGGAGGTGGCTGTATACTTGCCTCCTATCAGCACCTCTGGGAAAGTTCTGACGACCTGGCTCACCTTAGAGCTATTGTCATAGGTCCAGGAGAAGACGATGTCATTGGGCAGGAAGTCCCGTGCCAGGCAGCCCATAGACACCTGGCTGTTATCCGACAGGGAGCTCTCGCAGGTGACGAGGGGAAAGAGGATCGGGTCGGATGGGCTTGCTGGTGACCCAAGAGGCACAGAAGAGAAGAGGTGTGTGAGATGATGCTGGTTTTTATTCCCTGTACCGGGGATCTGTCATTACCTCCCTCCCACATTGGATGCCCCTCAAGAGGGCTGGGCTGGGCTGGCCTCTGAAGGCTGGGAGGACAGGGCCAGCTATGTTTGCAGGCCATGGGGTGCTATGAGGCCTTGTTGGTTCTGATATAGGACAAGGGTGAGGACGCTGTGAGGCCAGGCCTCGTGCAGGGCAGGCGGGCCTGTGTGCTGCCAGGCCAAAGAACCTCACTGGCCCCATTAGAGGAGAGTACAAAGAGCTCAAAGGACCCAGGCTTCAGGGCCACATGGGAAGCCAAGAGCACACTGAAGGCAGCTGCAGCTCTGCATGGGCATATGGAGTAAGCAGCATTACAACCTGCCCCGAGGGCTCCTAGGCCTGCAGTGGGGCTGTGTGGGACAACAGCAAGGCTGCTGTGATGGACCAGACACCAGTGTGACGCCACCTCAGCACAGCCTGATCAGGAACACTGGCCCAGCACAGCATCCCCAGGGGTAAGCTGCACCACTGCTCAGCCCAGCTGAAGCCATGTGGCCTTGCAGAGCCCTCCTGAACCAGCTGGATAGAGCTGTGATGAGTTGGCCAGTGCCATCCAACTCAGCCAGCTCAGGAGAATTCATTGCAGCCCAGCCCAGTGCAGTTTAGCTCAGCTTGGCCCAGCTGACCCAGCCCAGCTCAGTCCAGTTCAACACAACGGGGCTGAGCCTGCCTCACTGTGGCTCTGCTAAACTCAGCCAAAGTCAGCTCAACCTAGCTCAGCTCAGCCTAGCTCAGTTCTCCAAACTTACCCAGCATAGCTCACCGAGCTCTGTCCAGCTCTGCTAACTCAGCCAAGCTCATCCAGCACAGTTCAGCCTCCTTCAGCCCAGTGCTGCTCAGCCTAGCTCAGCCACCTTGGCTCAGCTCACTTTAGCTCACTCAGCTCAGTCCACCTCAATTCAGCTCAGCTTGACTCAGCTACTTTACCTCAGCTTGCCCAAGTTCAGTACAACGTGGCTCAACCTGGTGTAGCTCAACTCAGTTCAGTTCAGCTCTGCTAACCAGATCTCCAACTAGCCCAGCTCACTACAGCAGGGCTCTACTAACCAGATCACTTTAGTCCAGCCTAGCCCAGCTCCATTAGCTCGGCTCTGCAACCCAGCTCAGTGCAGCCCAGCTGCATTAGCCCAGTTCAGTTCAACCCAGCCCTGCTCAGCCCAGACTAACCCTGTTCCACTAGCCCAGCTCAGTCTAGAGCAGCCCAGCTCTACCAACCCGGCTCTACAAGCCAAGCTCAGCCCAGCTCAGCTGTACTAGTTCAGTTGAGCCCAGCTCAATCCAGTCCAGACCAATCCTGTTCTGCTAGCCTAACCCAGATCAGTTCAGACCAGCTTGTCTCTTCTCAGCTCTGCTAGGTCAAGACAGTCCAGCTCATCCTAGACCAACCGTGTTCTGCTAGCCCAGCCCTACTCAGTCCAGCCCAGCCCAGGCCAAGCTAGCTCAGTTTAGACCAGCTAAGCTCTGTTAGCCTAGCTCATTTCAGCTCAGCCCATCTCTGCCTGGCTCTGTTATCCAGCCCAGCTCAGTCCAGACCAACCCTGTTCTGCTAGCCTAACCCAGCTCAGTTCAGAATAGTTCAGCGAGGCTCAGCTTGGCTCAGCCCAGCCTGGCTCTGCTAGGTAAGGCCAGTGCATCTCAGCCCAGACCAATCCTGTTCTGCTAGCCCTGCCCAGCCCGGCCCAACCTAGCTCAGTTTGGACCATCTAAGCTCTGCTAGCCCTGCTCAGCTCAGCCCAGCCCAGCCTGGCTATGCTAGTTCATCTCAGTCCACCCCAATCCAGCCCAGCTCTGCTCAGCTCATCTCAGCCCAGGCCAATCCTGTTCTGCTAGCCAGCCTAGCCCAACTCAGCCCAGCCCAGCCCAACCTAGCTCAATTCAGACCAGCTAAACTCTGCTAGTCCAGGTCAGCTCAGTTCAACCCAGCTCAGCTCAGACCAGTTCAGCTCTGCTAGCCCAGTTCTGCTAGCTCAGCCCAGCTCAGCCCAGCCCAGCCCAGCCCAGACCAGTTCAGCTCTGCTAGCCCCAGTTCTGCTAGCTCAGCTCAGCCCAGCCCAGCCAAGCCCAGTTCAGCTCAGCTCAATCCTGCCTGGCTGTGCTAATTTAGCTAAACTCAGACCAGTTCAGCTCTGCTAGCTCAGTTTTGCTAGCTCAGCTCAGCTCAGGCCAGCTCAATCCGCCCTGGCTCTGTTTAGCTAAGCCCAGCCCAGCTCAGCTCAGCCTAGCTCAGCCCAGCCTAGCTCAACTCAACTCAGCTGGGTCCAGCTCAGCCCAGACCAATTCTGTTCTGATAGCCAGCCTAGCCCAGCTCAGCCCAGCCCAGCCCAACCTAGCTCAGTTCAGACCAGCTAAGCTCTACTAGTCCAGGTCAGCTCAGTTCAACCCAGTCCAGCCCAACCCAGCCCAGCTCAGCTCAGACCAGTTCAGCTCTGCTCAGTCCAGCCCAGTTCTGCTAGCTTAGCTCAGCTCTGCTCTGCTAGCCCCAGTTTTCCTGGCTCAGCTCAGCCCAGCCCAGCCCAGTTCAGCTTAGATCAATCCTGCCTGGCTGTGCTAGTTTAGCTAAACCCAGACCAGTTCAGCTCTGCTAGCTCAGTTTTGCTAGCTCAGCTCAGCTCAGGCCAGCTCAATCCACCCTGGCTCTGTTTAGCTAAGCCCAGCCCAGCTCAGCTCAGCTCAGGCCCGATCAATCCACCCTGGCTCTGTTTAGCTCAGCCCAGCCCAGCTCAGCTCAGCTCAGGCCCGATCAATCCACCCTGGCTCTGTTTAGCTAAGCCCAGCCCAGCTCAGCTCAGCCTAGCTCAGCCCAGCCTAGCTCAACTCAACTCACCTGGGTCCAGCTCAGCCCTAGACCAATCCTGTTCTGCTAGCCCAACTCAGCTCAGTTCAGACCAGCTAAGCTCTGCCAGCCCAGCGCAGCTGTACCAGCCTAGCTCAGCTTAGCTCAGCTAGGTTAGCTTAGTCCAGCTCAGTGTAGCTCAGTGTAGCTCAGCCCAGCCCAGCCCAGCTCTGCCTGGCCTAGTTTAGCTCAGCCTAGCCCAACCTAGCTCAGTTCAGACCAGCTAAACTCTGCTAGTCTCGCTCAGCTCAGCTAGATCAATTCAGCCCAGTTTAATCCAGCTCAGCTCAGCCCAGCCCAGCTCAGTCCATCCTGTCTCTGCTAGTTTAGCTAAACCCAGCCCAGCCCAGCCCAGCCCAGCTCAGCTCAGCTCAGCTCAACCCAGCTCATCCCATACCATTTCAGATCTGCTAGCCCAGCTTTGCTAGTTCGGCCCAGCCCAGTCCAGCTCAGCCCAGCTCAGCCCAGCTTAATCCGGTTCAGCTCTGCTAGCCCAGCTTTGCTAGTTCAGCTCAGCCCAGCCTAGACCAGACCAGCACCAGGAGACCTCAGCTGAAACACTCCACAGCTGAAATCTGCACAGCCCAGCTGACTTCCATCACCCTTAATCTCTCCTCTGGCATGCATGTCCTGGTCTCTCACCCCGCTGGGCCAGACTTTAGGCTGCAGAGGCACCCAATCAGTCACTACGACCCCTTAACAAACAGGAAAAGTATATCCCTGCAACTTTAAATTCATTGAAATATCGAGAGTTTCGATCAAGAAAGTAGGGGCATTTCTGAACAAGGAAAAGTTCTTTTTCCTCTAGAACTGCGAGGCTTGGCTATGCAGGTAGGAAGCGCCCGGGGGAGCCTCCCTCAGAGCCTGTGCTCCTGGAAGACCCCCTTAGCCTAGATCCCTCCTTCTGACTTTAAGTTCCATCCAGGTCAAAACCATCGTGAAAAACAACCATATAAAGCATTTTATCTAAATTTGCCACTTAAAATTCTTGTTTGCCACGAAACTCTTTAGAAAGCATGATAATAGTCTAAAATAAAATCTGCATTGATAACTTAAATGGATACAATGCCATTGGTCCTTTGTACATTTTAAAGCACCATGAACTGAATGACTAATAGTTAATAAACCTTAGAGCTCCTGGTGCCCATTTCTCCTTGACATATATTTCTGTGAGTGACCCAGACAACAGTCACTCCAAGGATTCACAAATACATTTCATTCCCTTTATCCAACAATAAAGACTGATTCTCTTTCCAAAAGAAACAAGGATCAAATACAAACTTTTAAGAGAAACAAACACGGCAGGGGTGGCTGCCTCTTGCTTACCATGTTGGGTGCCCAGTCGCTGGGAGGTCCCGAGGATCTTTGGCACAGAATATTTCCTTCAAGTCCATTAAAACTGGCTGGTTCACAAAGAGCCAGTTGGTCTGGTGGCAGAAGCCACTGCCACACATTCCCAGGTCTGAGTGGTTCTGGGACTCCAAGCTGAAGCCAGGTCCAGCAGCAACCCACACTCAGACCTTAGCCAGCAGCTGGTCAGCAGGAAGCTGGGCAGAGGCGAAGCTTTCTGTGTTGCCAGAGATCTAAAGGCTTTTCCTTTGCATTATCTGGCTAAATTTCTCTTAATCCACCAACTAAGATGTTTAACCAAAATAATCCAAGATAATATACATCTTACCTCAAAGGTCTCCTAAAGTGACTACTCAGTGAGTAGTCTTAAAAAATACTTAGGAAGGCATCTTTATCAGAATAGCAAAGTGTTTTTTCTTAATCATAAAACTAGCTTAAATATTGTGAACACATTCATTGTAAAAATAAATGCTTCAGTTATTGGACAAAGCACTGGTATTAGCACATAGAAGAACGCTAAAGCAATTAAAAAACTTTCCTAAATACACTAATAAACTGTCCCTAAGACTTCAGGTTCATGCACATCACACTTCAAAAATGAATACAATTTAACAGTTGATAAGCTATTTTTGAAAACTGAGCTAAGACTCAAAAATGAAAGCCACATAGCAAAAAAGGGACTTTCCAGTTCCTACCAGCATCTGAGACTTATTTTAGAAATGCAAATGACCCAGGTGTTGTTTTGCTCAGCAGGAACTTTCAGATCTGTGGGGCTGGGCAAAACAATTTCAAAACCACCTCTTCAGAACCACAGCTATAAATTTACCTATTCTGTTTTCTTGCTTCCTAAAATAGATTCTCCATGTGACCAGCTTCCTGCCACCTGCTGCAGGTGTCCTGGCCCCAGGCCATCTTGATTCTAACTCACATCTCGGGATAGCTTCATTGACTTAAAAAATAAACTTTATTTATTATTGTCAAAACTCAGGCCCAATTCCTGCCAACAGTACCAAATTCCTATTCCTTGGTTGAACCTGCAGCAATGTCAGTTCCAGACAGACATGACTCACAGTTGTTAACTGAGTATTAAAAAAATTAAAAGTTTAAACACCTAGATATTTGAAAATGGAATATGCTTGCGAATGTCTCACATTTAAAGTCACAATTTTCTTAGCCATTCTCCTCTGGAGCCCCTTCAGAGACATCCTGTCTTTTAAACTTAGTAAGTCTGTTTCCCAGCATTTTCTCCTCTGTGTGTCTGGACAGAGCCAGATCCCTCTCCTCAAGAGCCTGTCAGAGCAGATGCTGCCCTATGGGTGTGGGTGTCCAGCCACCCGTTCTCCCCAAGGCTATGGCTACATGTTCTTCTCACTGAATTCACTCCCTCAGACCATTCTTTATTCAGACCAGTAAATAGTTTTAAATACTATCTAGCTCAGAGCATACATCACCATTCTAAAGAAAATACTCCACTCCGCACCCTGTGTGTGGCAGTCCAGGCACTCTGACAACGCAGTCACTGAGGTGCACCCCTCATCCAACATTGATTCCAGAACTGGACATCCCCAGCCCAGCCAGAGATGTCCTTTTCCGCACACTACCGAAGGTGGCTCCCAACCCCAGCCCCTGTTTAGGGGGCTCAATCACTGCAATGAAGTACCGGTCCTTAATATACTTTTTCAAAGACATCAGAACATCTACAGAGGTGCTCAGTCCTGACACTCCTGTCCAGCTGTCCAGATCCCCTTGAGGCCACTGAGGTGATCCTACAGTTCCCAGAAAACCTCAGACAAAAGCAGAGAGCGAAGGCCCTGAAGAGGCTGTTCTTACCTGAGGAGACGGTGACCAGGGTCCCGGAGCCCCAGACATCCATAGCATAGTAATCACAATGGTGCAGTCTCCATCCGCACCCCACAAAAACCCTGAGTGCCTGGCCAGCATTGTGTCCCATCACCCAGAGACCCACACCTGACCCCCGTGGACATACCCAAGTCACTGTGTCAGGTCTGTGACTCCACTGGCCCCCAGACATCCAAGTACCAGAAGCCAGATGTCTGCTAGCCTGGGAAGGTGACCCTAAACTGACACCCTTGGTTCTCACAGGGACCCACAAAGTCTCCAAGCTGACAGAGCCCAGTTATTCAGCTGTCACCCTGATTTCACTCCACAGAACACCGGCATGGACTCCTGTCCAGGACCCCTGAGGCTGAAGAGGGCTGGATCTCCAGCTCCCCAAATCCCTTTCCCACTTTCTAAAATATCACGGTCATTCTGACAGGAAGACTTAGACTCTGAGTCTCCGCTGGTGCATTAGAATGGGGACGGTGCAGGACTCACCTGAAGAGACGGTGACTGAAGTCCCTGAGCCCCAGACATCAAGCCAGTTGTCACATTGTGACAACCATGGGAGGGTTCCAGACAAGAACTGGTGCCAGGCTGGGGCCCCAGGACCCCCCTAATAGGTGACCAGAGCCCAGAGAGACCCAGCCGCATGGACCAGGATAGAGGGTCTGTGTGGACCTCAGGATCCCTTTCTGGCCCCCTAGGCTTGGGGCCAGGCAGTCCTTCCTGGCCTGAGACCCAGACATGATCATTTTGCCCCCAAAATGCTGTAAGCCCCATAGAGTTGAATAGGAAAAGGAGCTGGAAAGACTTACCTGAGGAGACGGTGACCAGGGTCCCTGGGCCCCAGTAGTCAAAGTAATCACACTGCCATGGGCCCCCTTAGGGGATGTACAAAAACCTGACCCACTCCAGCCTGTGTGGCAGCCAAGGTGGGAAGGGCAGGACTCAGAGTCCCATGTCCAGAGCATGATTCTGCCACCCTTTGTCCCCAGAGCAAAGAGTCCCTATCCCTACAAAAGGACCAGTGGCAGAACAGAGAGCCTCACACCCCCAAATGACCCCCATGGGTCCCAGATGCAGTTCCAAAGAACCACTGGAAATACCTATCCCAGACCTGCGCCCAGACCAAGGAGGCTAAAGAAATTCATCTCACCCAAGGAGATGGTGACCAAGATGCTGGATCCCCAGGTCTTGGGGCTCTCCTCAAGTTGAACCTAGTGAAGACTGAGGGCAACATAGACTAACAGGACCCAGAGACCAGTGATAGAGGGAATCTTGTGGGCCACAGTTCCCAGGACCACTTCTTGGCCCCCAAAGCTGCTCCTGTCCTTCTTGGCCTGAGACTGACACTCGGTTATTCTCCCCGCACAATGTAGCAAAATCCTCAGAGTTGAGCAGAAAAAGAAGCTATAAGGACTCACCTGAGGAGACGGTGACCAGGGTCCCCTGGCCCCAGTATTGAAAGTAGTCACACTGCTGTAGGCCCCCTTAGGAGGTGTACAAAAACCTGACCCCCTATGGCCTGTGTGGCCAGCCATGGCAGAAAAGCCAGGTCTCAGGGTCACAGTGGAGCATGGTTCTGTCACCCTTTATCCAGGGAACAAAGTGCCATATCCGCACAGACAGGCTGCCAGCAGCCTCATGGGCCTCCAGAAGACCCTGCAAAGACTGAAGCACCTCTGGAAATCTTTCCCATTTTCAGAGAAGGCTGGCCCCAGACTTACCTGAGGAGACGGTGACCAGGGTGCCAGAGCCCCAGACATCGAAGTACCAGTAGTAGCACAGCCTCTACCCTTAGGCTGTGCCTGCACAAAAACGCCTCCCAGGCCCATCCCTCCTGACCCTGTTGTCCCCAGATGCAGGACTCACCTGAGGAGACAGTGACCAGGGTGCCCTGGCCCCAGAAGTTGAAGTAATCATAGACCAACTGAGCTGGCCTAGTGTCCAGGGCCATCAAAACCCCAGCCTGGGACTGGGGATTTGGCTCAGTGGTTCCGCCGCCTGCCTCACAAAAGTGAGAGAGAGAGTTCGATCCCCGGTACAAAAAACAAAACAAAACAAAACAAAAAAACCCCACCTAGCCTGGGGTCCTGTAGCCCTATCCCACCCTGGGCCCATGCAGACACTGACTCTCACTGGTCTTCTGGGTCATGGTGTCCCTGCTCTGAACCCCAGGGCTGGCCTGAACATAGCACCTCTACTCTGCATCTGGTCACTGGGAAGCCTCCTCTCACTTTTCAAGACCACAGAGCCTTTTCCTACTTCTCTAGCTGCCCTACCCAACAGGGCTCTGCAGGGCTGTTGGCTATAGGCTGTCTGCTGTTGCTGAATGGGTTGGGTTTTTGTAGAACTGTCAGTCACTGTGGCCCCAGTTAGCACTGTGGTTCTAGGCTCAGCCAAAACCCCTGGGCAGGAGGCAGGGGTGGAGGCAGG